AAGGCGTTTCAAAGCAGCAGCGCTGCATGGAGTCAGGTGTCTGACCCCAGGCTCCACACAGCACTGCTGCTTTGAAGCGCCCCCTTCTCTTCCTCCTCCCTTCCCCCACTGCCTCTTTCTGACAGACAGCAAGGGAGGGAGACTGACTAGCCAACTAGTTGGTCACATCCCTAGTTTGGTAACAGTAACTGGGAGCTGCTTTTCAAAACGGATTTATTTTGTTTACTAGAATTAGAAAGCCAGAGCATGAGAGGAGCATGGAATTGCAACTGGTTTGATGTAAAACACTTGACCCGGTGTCCCCCCCCCCACACACACACACACAAAAATTCTCAAAAATCAAAATGAAACTTCCTTGGATTCAAAACTGGCTAAAGGACCTAAAGAAAGGAAAGTGATAAATGGCAAGGTCTTGAGTTGAGGTGAAATGGCCAGTGGAGCAGGGGTTGTTAGTACATTCAGTCTCACTTGACATTTTCATAAATTCTTTGGATGAAAGAAAAAGAGGGTTGAATTTCAAGTTATTGAAATTCATATACTGGGACCTGTGAACACTGGCAAGAGTAGAATGATATCAAGAGATCTAAACTGGCTGGAAATATAAAAGAAAAGTAATACAGAATTAAAGGATGAAAATAATTAATGCCAGACAGCATGGTTTTATGAAACAAAAGGTCTGATCAAACAAACCTGATTTTTTGGATGAGAATTAGCATTCGGTTGATTAGGGTAATTTCCTAGATACAACATAGAGACATCTGTAAAATGTTTGACTTAGCACTAGAGGACAGTTGGATTAAGAAATTAGGACAATACCACACACATAACATAGATTAAGGACTGGCTAACAGAGCTGAAGAAACTTAAACAGTGAACGGTCCTGCAGCACCTTAGAGACTAACAAAAATGTAGGTAGTGTCATGAGCTTTTGTGGGCCACTTCTTCAGATCAATGGAGCGAGGGGTCCAGAGGTACAAATAAATAGCAGAAAAAGAGGGGAGATGGGGAGGAAAGGGAATAAAAATCTTGTAAATTAGAGTATCCATGCTAAATGAGGCTAATAGAGTGGGCTGTAAGTGGCCAATGCTTAGCTTTTGATGTAATTTGCATGTTGAATATAACGGCCCAAGTTCATGTCTTTGTTCCAACCTTTATTAAAGGTGCCAAATTTGCAAATGAAGGCAAGTTCCGCAGCGTCTCTCTCCAGCTGGTTTTTGGAATTGCTTTGTAAGAGTATAGTCACTTTGAGATCCATTAACAAGTGCCCGGGCAAGATGAAATGCTCCCCAACAGGTCTCTGTGTGTTACCATTTAGAATATCTGATTTGTGTCCATTAATCCTTTCGCCAATGGGGAAATCACGACTAAAGGGGGATGCTTCTAGTGGAGTGCTGCTGCCATCAGCCCTGTCAGGCCTAACTCATCTTAACGTGTCTCAGAGGGGGAGCTGTGTTACTCTGTAGCTTTAAAAACAACAAATAGTCCTGTGGCACCTTAGAGACTAACAAAAATATACACACAGATTGCTGGTTTTGGGAGGTGCAATCTCTGGTCCGGCAACATCCGTGATCCAGCACTACCACAGATGTTCCTGGTTCAGAGAGCCCGGCACACCAGTGGCAGGAAGGCTATCCAAAAGCAGGGCCAGGCTGAAGCAGCAGGAGGGGAAAGGGCTGGGGCTGGCAGCAACTCTAAGCAGCCTGCAGCAGTGGGGCTCGAGCCAGCAGCATCCCCCTGCAGCTCTGAGACCGGGTCGGGGCAGCACCCACAGTGCAGGACTGGGCATGCCATGGCCTATAGTAGTACGGGGCCAGAGCTTGCAGATTGCCACAGGGCAGGAGTTTAAGCTCTCAGCAGCCTATGGCAGGGGGGCCGGGGTGTGGCAGCACGGGGCCTGCTCCAGAGCCTCGGGCAGCCTGCAGGAGGAGGAGCCCTCAACAGCCCCGGGAGCCCGTGGCAGCAGGACCAGAACCAATCCCCACCAGCGGGCCAGGGCTAGAGCTGGCAGCGAGGCCGGGGTTGGGCCGGTGGCAGCGCAGTGCAGCGCAGCGCAGCTTGGAGCTGGGGCCTATGACAGCCCATGACAGTGCGGGCTGCTGGAGCCCTCAGGCAGCCTCAAGCCAGGGCAGTGGCAGCAGGACCGGCTGGTGCTGGGAGTAGTCAGGGGGCCCTCACAGCTGGCAGACTGTGGCAGGGAACCTTCCCTGCTCCGGCAAATTCCCTGATTCGGGGCAGGTCAGGTCCCGAGGGTGCCGTACCAGGGAGGTCCAACCTGTAGTATCATGAGTTTTTGTGGGCAAAATCCACTTTTTCAGATGAGCTGGAGTGGAAATGACAGAAACCCAGAATTTTTTTCTTTCCCCTTCTTTTTCTGTTATAAAAAGCACCTGTCAATTGTAGTACTGGTGCTAATGAGGCTAACTGAGTGGGCTGGACATATCCCATACTTCACTTTTGATGTATATGAGGTGTTAAATGCATGGAAGTCTAACATGTTTATCAATGATCTGAAAGGACATACAAGACTGCGGCGGATAAAAATGTGTTGCTAACACAAAGACTGGCTGAATGGTAAACAGGAAAGACGATAAGGCTGTCACAATCTGGACTGCTTAATGATTTGGGCCCACTCCAATAAAATTCATTTTATTACAGCCAAATGCAAAGTTAGACAACCAAGAACAAAAAACATAAGTCCTACCTACAGAGTGGGGGGACTGTATGCCAGAAAGCAGCGACTCTGGAAAGGATTTAGGAACCATAACAGATAACTCAACGTAAGAGCCAAAGGCAGGGGTGGGCAACATGTGGCCCACAAACTGGACACCGTTCACCAGAGTTAGCCCCTGGCAGGCCACTAGCACTTCATTTACCTGCATGTCCGTTTCCAGCAGATCACCGTTACCTGCCAATGGGAGCTGCGGGAAGTGATGTTCCTGTCCACACTGCTTCCCACGGCTCTCATTGGTCAAGAATGGCGATCTGCAGCTAACAGGAACTGGAAGCAACCGTATCTGCAGACGCACAAGTAAAATGAAGTGACAGTGGCCCACCAGGAGCTCACCCTGGCTCCGGTTTATTGCTCACCCCTGCCCGAACCCAAAACGGGCCAATGCAACCCTTGATACATAAATAGAGTAACAACAAGCAGAAATAGAGAGGTGTTTTTCTCTCTATACAGAGCACTGGTGAAACAGATGCTGGAATACTGAGTACAGTTCTAGTTTCCACATTTTTAAAAGAATGATGAAAAACTGGAGAAAGTGCAGAGAAGACACACAAAATTATCTGAGGGATGGAGAAAACGATGTACAGTGAGAGACTTAAGGAACTCGATCTCTATCTCACCAGAAAGATTGACAAGCAAGTTGATTACAGTGTATAAGTACTTTAATGGGAAGAAAATGCCAGGTACCAAGATGCTCTTTAATCTATTGGAGAAAGATAGAGCAAGAAAACACCGTTGGAAAACACCAGAAAAATCAAATTTGAAATCAGACGCAATTTTTGAATAATGAGGGTACTACTAGAACAAACTACCAAGGGAAGTGGCGTTTCTCCATTGTTGGATGTCCTAAACATCAAGATGGAATGCCTTTTTGGAAGAAATACTTTGGTCAAACACAAGATATTGGGCTCAATATAGGGGTAACTGAAGTGGGTTGTGCCCACGAAAGCTCATGATACCACTTACACATTTTGTTAGTCTTTAAAGTGCAGCAAAACTAGTTGTTTCTTAATTTTTTAAAATTCTATTCTCAGACAAGATCCAACTGGCCCCTTCTGGCCTTTACATCTATGAATGTATTCAGTAACTATTAGACTTGGAAGGATTCTATTTTACTCGTAAATGCCAGTAAATGTCAATTTCACCGTACACCTACAACTTTAACAAAACACATTTCCATTGACAGTAAAAGAGCAGGTGACAGAAACATCCATCAGGAATGATCTGGATGATGTTTGGTCTTGCCACGAATGCAGGGGACTAGACTTAATGACCTCGAGACCCCTTCCAGTTCTAGTAGTCTATGAAATACTTTTATAGCTAGTTAGACAAAATAAGGCCAATGCTGGTTGAGAATTTGTAAGAGTTTTGATGTAACGATATGTACTTTGTATATTTTGACGTGTGATGATGACTGTTTGTTTTAATGCATATAAAGCTTTAAGTCTTTGACTCTCAATGCTTACTGTTATTATTAAGTATTTACTACCTGCGCTCTCCATAATTTCTCAAAACTGTTTACATTTAACTAGATTAACAAGAGTTGCAAACCCATAACTTTATACAATTGTGAAAATTAAAATTAACAAATGTCGACCTTATGCTTACAATCATCCTCAATATTCTCCATGACAACTGTACATTAAAAAAAACCTCCTGAATTTTTGCCAGGTCTGTGTCCCCCATGGGGCTACCCTGCACTGACAGCAGAAGGGATTCATTAAATCCAGGGATCTCTCACCTTCAAATCCGATTCGCTCTAACAAATTTAAGGGGTACCAGATCAAAGGTTTGTTGCCTACTGGCAGGAGGGCCTTGGGGATGCTGGAAGTCAAGTCCATCATGCGGGATCCCCCACCAGCTGCCATCACCACCGCTTGAAACTCCATCTCGACAGCTCTGCAGGGAAGCGGCAGAGGCACCCGGCTCTCAAGGTTTGTTGCCTACTGGCAGGAGGGCCTTGGGGATGCTGGAAGTCAAGTCCATCATGCGGGATCCCCCACCAGCTGCCATCACCACCGCTTGAAACTCCATCTCGACAGCTCTGCAGGGAAGCGGCAGAGGCACCCGGCTCTCATCAGAGGATAAAGCGATCCCGGAGCGAGGGTCCCCCGCCCCC